GCCTGCCCCACACTCCCCTGAAGCGCGTATCCTGGTTGTCTATGCGCTGGTGCGCAGGGGCCTTGAGCTGCGCAGCGACTCGCGGCTGTGCGCGCAGTACGTCCAGGGCGAGGCCGTCCCCGGCGGCCTGGAGGGGCGCGGGGCGGTCAGGTTCGAGGAGGGCTGCGGTGAGGAGGGGGTCGCGACCCCCCAAGGGAGAGCTAACTAACCGACCTGTTCGTTTCCCGACCACCCTCCCGACAGAGAAGCAGCACACGGCACTCGGCTTGGGCAGCCGCGGGTGACAGTATGGGCGATGGGTACGCCAGGTGCTTCAGGCGCCTCGGCTGCAATCCCGAGTGAATGCGCCTCAGAGTCGTTACCTCTTGCCTATCCACTGGCAGACGAGTGCTCGTCATGCGAGGCGGCGCGCACCTTGCACTGTCTCCCTTGTGATGATGGGGGAGGCCCACACGCTCGGCGGTGTGCGGTGTGCGGTGTGCGTGATGGTGGAGGAGGCCCACACGCCTGGCGTTCGCCAGGGTGGCTGCATTGAGCCGGTCAGAAGAGGTGTGACGTGCGATTGGTATAGTTTTTTCTGACGGGCAGTGATGGGTTATCTTGTCGACCACTGTGCGAGTGAACGCTCGCTCAGTGCTGTCATCGGACAGGGATGGTGGTGTGTGTGAGAGTGTCCCTGCAGGGCGACCGTCAGAGTGGGGATAATGAGTGATTCTTCACGAAGACAAAGGAATAGTGGGGAGGGGGGATGGGGGGAGGAGGGGGAGGATGTGGATGAGGATGTGAGTTGGGGATGAATGACGACAAAGATGGTCACGAGGCGGGGGAGTATGAAGGGCAGCGGCGAGGATGAGGAGGATGAGGATGAGGATGAGAAGGTGGATGAGGGAGGAAGGATGACGATGACGACGACGATGATGATGATGGTTTTGATGATGATGGTAGTGGTGATGATGAGGAGGATGACGATGATGTTCATGACGATGATGATGACGGCGCTGACGATGATGACGATGACGATGATGATGCTGATGGTGATGGTGGTGGTGATGATGATGCTGCTGATGATGGTGGAGATGATTCTGATGCCAATGATGTCGTTTAGGAAATCACTTAGAACGTAGTTGCTGCTGTTGGCACTGATGCTTTTTATTGTAGTTGTAGTTGTAGTAGTAGTTGTTGTTGTTGGTGCGGTTGTTGTTGGTGCGGTTGTTGTTGTTGTTGTTGTTGTTGTGGTTGTGGTTGTTGTTGTTGTTGTTGGTGTTGTTGTTGTTGTTGTTGTTGTTGTTGTTGTTGTTGTTGTTGTTGACGTTTGCGTTGATGTCGTTAGAATGGTTGTTGTTGTTGCTGCTGCTGTTGTTGTTTTTGTTGCTGTTGTTGTTGCTGTTGTTGTTGTTGTTGTCGTAGTAGTAGTAGTAGTAGTAGTAGTAGTTGTACTTGTTGTTGTTGTTGTTGTTGTTGTTGTTGTTGTTGTTGTTGTTGTGGTTGTGGTTGTGGTTGTTGTTGTTTTTTCCCAACCATCCTGTGGTGTTGGTTCCTCGTTTTGAAGAGACAGCGCCCCACGTCCCACTCACTCACTCCTCCTCCTCCCCCCTCCTCCTCCCTCCTCTGCCCCTGCCCTCAGCACCACCCACTCATTACGGCGCACCCCTTCACGAGGATCGTGGCCCCATAGGGAGCTCCACCGAAGGCCCCAGTGGGAAAGGTTGCATGGCGGCCCCGCCCCAGTTCGGCGCACCCTTCACGAGGATCGTGGCCCCATATGGAGCCCCATCGAATATGATAGTCACGACTGCGGTACTCACTGCTTGATACGGTTGGGTCCTTCGCTAGGCTAATTTTGGTTGTTATTGTTTATTGTTGTGGTTGTTGGTGTGGTTGTTGTTGTTAATGTTGACTCTTTTGATGCTGTTGTTGAGGTTGTTGTTGGTGTTGTTGTTTGGGTTGTTGTTGATGATGTTGTTGTTGTTGTCGTTGTTGATGTCATTGTTGTTGTTCCCTACCTAGGCTCTGCCTAGAGGGTTCTTACCCTATATCTTAAAGTAGCCGGGCAGTGCAAAACGCCCCGGGCGGTTCCCCCGGCATCCGCCCCGCGGTTCCCCCAGTTACGTCTCTTTAGCTTAGCGTTGCTTATCTCATCTTAGCTTAGCTTATTTCATTTTAGCTTAGCTTAGCTTCATCTTAGCTCAGGTTTATCTTAGCTTAGCTTACCTTCATCTTAGCTTCGGTGAGCTTTAGCATAGCAGAGCACAACAGCATAGCATAGCATAGCGTAGCAAAGCATAGCGCAGCACAGCATATCATAGCATAGCCCAGCATAGCATAGCATAGCGCAGCATAGCATACCATCACATAGCATAGCGCAGCACAGCACAGCACAGCATAGCACAGCGCAGCATAGCATAGCATAGCATAGCATAGCATAGCATAGCAGCAAAGCAAAGGCAAATCAACAGCAGCGACAGCAAAGCAAACCACAAACAACGCAAAGCAAAGCAAAGCAACGACAGCAAAGCAAAGGAAAGACAAAGCAACAGCAATGTAATTCCCTACCTAGGCTCTGCCTAGAGGGTTAGCTTAGCTTAGCTTAGCTTAGCATAGCGCAGCGCTGCATTAGCATAGCATAGCATAGCATATCATAGCATAACATAGCCAACCATAGCATAGCATAGCATAGCATAGCGCAGCATAGCATATCATAGCATAGCATAGCATAGCATAGCATAGCATAGCATAGCGCAGCTTAGCATAGCATATCATAGCTTAGCATAGCTCAACATAGCAAATCATAGCATAGCATATCATAGCGCATCATAGCATAGCATAGCACAGCATAGCGCAGCATAGCATGGCATAGCATGGCATTGCATAGCATAGCAACTAATGCTGCTTTCCTAGGGGCTCCAACTTCTAGGTAGGGTCCCACTTGGGTAATTGCTGTTGTTGTAGTTGTAGTTGTTGTTGTTGTTGCATTGCTGTTGTTGTTGTTGCTGTTATTGTTGTTGTTGTTAGTGTACGTGTTGTTGCTTTGGCTCGTTTTGTGATTGTTGTTGTTGCTGCTGCTGTTGTTCTTGTTCTTATTGTTGTGGTTTTTGTTGTTGTTCTTGTTGTTGTTGCTGTTGTTATTGTTTGAGTTTTTCTTGTCTTGTTGTTGTTGTTGTCGTTGTCGTTGTTGTTGAACTCTCACTTCTGAATAATTATGGTTGATCCTCCCCGTCGGGTGCACATTGTTTTTTTCGATTGATGTGCCCTTCCCGGGGCTCGCACCTTGTTTTTTATCAGGGAAAGTCTTGAGGGTCAAACAGTGTCGTCGGCCCCCGGTTTACAACAACAACGGCTCCCGCTTGATACTTCCTCACAATTTATTGACGAATCGCGCTTTCGCTTAGGACTTCCTCACGATTTACCACTGGATCGCGTCTCCCGCTTGATATTTCCTTACAATTTATTCAAGAATTGCGCTCTCGCTTGGGACTTCCTTCCAATTTGCCACCGACTCGCGGCTCCCGCCTGATACTTCCTCACAATTTATTCAGATGCCGCTCCTCGACACTCAGGAATCGCGCTCCCGCTGCATATTGTTTGGCGGTTCAAGCAGAATCTACGCTTCAACGACCCGCCCGCTCGACCCGCCCGTCTGGGCCTGCCCGCCCGACCAGCCCGTTAGGGACTGCAGTCGCCGCTCGCTGCCCTTCGCCCGCCTTTGATGCCCCTCGCTGCCCGTACTGGTTCCGCGGTCGCCTTCGCTCGCTGCCCTTCGTGGCCCCGTTGCCGCCCTTCGTGGCAGGGAATGAATATACCCCTCAAAAGGGGGTACGATCTAAGACGTAGAGGGCGGGTATCCAGGGTTTGGGATATGCATATTGAATGACACGCGAGCAGATAAGAGCGAACAGTCTTAAAATTCTTCACGCTTCGCGTATCCCCACCAGCCCATCTCAAAACAGCAACTCTTGCGAAGCATGCCGACAGTCGTGTTTTTCAGGCGTGTTTCCGCCTGCCCCCGCATATCTCCGGGCCTCTCGTCCTGGTGTGAGTCGTTCGGGCCCTTCTTCCTGGTGTGAGTCGTTCGGGCTCTTCGTCGTGGTTTGAGTCGTTCGGGCTCTTCGTCCTGGCGTGAGTCGTTCGGGCTTCTCGTGGTGTGAGTTGTTCGGGCCCTTCGTCCTGGTGTGAGTCGTTCGGGCTCCTCCTCCTGGTGTGAGTCGTTCGGGCTCCTCGTGGTGTGAGTCGTTCGGGGTGGTGTGAGTCGTTCGGGCTCGTCCTGGTGTGAGTCGTTCGGGCTCCTCGTGGTGTGAGTCGTTCGGGCGCCTCGTCCTGGTGTGAGTCGTTCGGGCGTCGAAGTCGTCGTGGGGCCTCTTGGGGGCCTCTTGGAGCCTCTTGGGGCCTCTTGGGGGCCTCTTGGGGGCCTCTTGGGGGCCTCTTGGGGGCCTCTTGGGGGCCTCTTGGGGCCTCTTGGGGGCCTCTTGGGGGCCTCTTGGGGGCCTCTTGGGGCCTCTTGGGGGCCTCTTGGGGGCCTCTTGGAGGCCTCTTGGGAGGCTCCTGGGGGCCTCTTGGGGCCATCTGGGGGCCTCTTGCGACCTCCTCAGAAGCGCAAAGGAGCGCTGCCCCCTGAGAAGGACAAAATGAGCCAAAAACCTTCGTAAAATCAATGATTTTGCCATGAAGGAAGATGAGCGCGGCCCCCTCAGGACGCCAAAATGGGGCCAAAACCGTAGTAAAATCAACGATTTTGGCTTCAAAGAAGAGCAGAGGGGCCAAACCGTATCCCCCCGACGGGGCCAGAATCCTCGTGAGGGTCGTCGTTTTTTGGCCCTCCCAGGAGACAAAAAAGACCCCCCTGACTACGCCCCGGACTCCCTGTCCAGGTCCAGGGGGAGGGGGTAGGGGGAGGGGTAAACCCCTCCCCGAAAGGGAAGATGGGGGGTTGAGAACAGAGAGAGCTCGCTAAACCGCTCACGCCCAAAGGGCTGGTGGGATTATTGTTGTCGTTGTCGTCGTCGTCGTCGTCGCCGTCGCCGTCGTCGTCGTCGTCGTAGTCGTCGTCGTTGCCATCGTCGTCGTCGTCGTCGCCGTCGTTGTCGTCGTTGTTGAAGTTGAATTTTCATTTCTGCAGAATAATTATTGTTGATCCCCCCCGTCCAGTGCACATTGTTTTTCTATTTGAATGCCCTTCTTGGGGCTCGCACCCTGTTTTTGATCGGGGAAAGTCTTGAGGGTCAAACTGTGTCGTTGGCCCCCAGTTTACAACAACAACGGCTCCCACCTGATACTTCTTCAATTTATTGATGAATCGCGCTCTCGCTTAGGACTTCCTTGCAATTTACCACCGGATCGCGGCTCCCGCTTGACATTTCTTCACAATTTATTGAAGAATCGCGCTCTCGCTTGGGACTTCCCTCGCAACCTACCGCCGAATCGCGGCTCCCGCGTGATACTTCCTCAGAATTTATTCAGATGCCGCTCCTCGACACTCAGGAATCGCGCTCCCGCTAAATATTGCTTGGCGGTTCAAGCAGAATCTACGCTTCAACGACCCGCCCGCTCGACCCGCCCGTCTGGGCCTGCCCGCCCGACCAGCCCGTTAGGGACTGCAGTCGCCGCTCGCTGCCCTTCGCCCGCCTTCGATGCCCCTCGCTGCCCGTACTGGTTCCGCGGTCGCCTTCGCTCGCTGCCCTTCGTGGCCCCGTTGCTGCCCTCAGTGGCCCCGTCGCTGCCCATTGTGGCCCCGCATTATATGCCCTTCGTGGCCCCCGCTCGCAGTCGCCCGTCGTGGCCCCATACGCATGCCCTTCGTAGCCCCGCTGTCGCCCTTCGTGGCCCTCTCGCTGCCCTTCGTGGCCCCTTTGCTGCCCTCAGTGGCCCCGCTGTCGCCCTGTGTGGCCCCATATACGAATGCCCTTTGTGGCCCCCGCTCGTTTGCGCCCGTCGTGGCCCCATATGCGTGCCCTTCGTGGCCCCGCTGTCGCCCTTCGTGGCCCCCTCTCTACCCTTCGTGGCCCCGTTTCTGCCCTCAGCAGCCCCGTCGCTGCCTTCTGTGGCCCCGGATTAATTGCCCTTCGTGGCCCCCGCTCGCTCGCGCCCTTCGTGGTCTCATACGCATGCGTTTCGTCGCCCCGCTGTCGCCATTCGTGGTCCTCTCGCTGCCCTTCGTGGCCCACTTTCTCCGCTCCGTGGCCTCGCTGTCGCCCTTTCTGGCCCCATATATGTATGCCCTTCGTGGCCCCCGCGCGTTCGCGCCCTTCGTGGCCCCATATGCATGCCCTTCGTGGCCCCGCTGTCGCCCTTCGTGGCCCCCTCTCTGCCCTTCGTGGCCCCGTTTCTGCCCTCAGCGGCTCCGTCGCTGCCCTCTGCGGCCCCCTATATGTATGCCCTTCGGGGCCCCCGCTCGTTCGCGCCCGTTGTGGCCCGCGCCAACAATCGCCACTCACAGCGCAAATCATCGTCCTCCCTCCTTTTTGCCCCTCCCCTCCCTCCCTCCGATCCCTTCGTCCTCATTCTCCCCCGTTATCTGTTACCCTTCGTTTTCAAGGGCTTCACCGACCACACGTGGCAGGGAATGAATATACCCCCCAAGAGGGGGTACGATCGAAGACGAAGAGGGCGGGTATCCAGGATTCGGGATATGCATATTGAATGACGCGAGCAGATAAGAGCGAACAGTCTTAAAATGATTGGTGTTGTTGTTGTTGTTGGCGGTTGTGGTGGTAGTGGTGGTGGTGGTGGTGCGGTTGGGCCGTCTTGGTGGGCTCCTGTCCCGCCTGGCGCCGTCGGAAGCTGTCTTGGGGGCCTCTCTGGGCCGACTGGGGGCCCTCTTGGGGTGCTCCAGGGCCGTCTTGGAGGCCATCTTGGGCGTATTGGTGGGCCGTCTCGGGGCTCTCCTGGGGCGGTCTTGGGGGCCTCTGGGGCCGTCCCGAGGCCATCTTGGAGGCCTCTTGGGCGCTCTGGGGGCGATCTTGGGGGCCTCTTGGGCCGTCTTGGGCAGTCGGAAGGCAGAAACGGAGTTTTTTTTTTGGAGCTTCCGGGGACTTTTTGTGCCGTCTTGGAGGCCTTTTGAACACCTCTTGGACCGTCTTGGATCTTGGGTCATCTAGGAGCGGGAAATTCATTGTCCGGTAGATTTTCGGCGGCTTTCCAGGTGGTCGGCGGGACGGGCCGAAGCCCCAGGGGAGAGTTCTTTCGGAGAAAGAGCCAAGACCAAAACGGTAGGGTTCAGCACGCTGGGCACCCCTGTGATGAATCAACAGGGGGCGGCGGATCGAAGACGCCTACGGCGAATCACCGCCGCCCCCTGCCGTTTGGAAGCGCCTATGTGGCCGAACGTTGGGTTAGAGATAAGCCAAGCTATCGGACCATGTGTTCCCCGAGTCGGGTTAGAACATCTTCGGGGAACACTTGCGGGAGAATGCTTGGGGTACTGTTGGGGTCTCCTGGGAGCTTCCTGGTGTCCTGTTGGAGGCCTCTTGGGGCTCTTGGGAGCCTCGTGGGGGCCTTTGGGGGCCTCTAGGGGGCCTCTTCGGCAGTCTTAGGGTGTTCCTGGACCGTCTGACGCCGTCTGCAGCCGTCTTGGGCGCCTGTCTCGGCCGACTTGGGGCCCGATTCAGGTGTTTCAGGGCCGTCCTGGAGGCCATCTTGGGCGTCTTGGAGGCCTGTTGGGCCCTCTTGGGGCCCTCTTGGGGCCGTCTTAGGGGGGTTTCGGGGACCGTCAGCAAGTCGTCTAGGAGGCCTATGTAGCTATCTTGGGGCGATCTTGGGGGTCTCTTGGACCGTCTTGGGCTGTCGGAAGGCCGAGCAAAAAAAAGCACATGCCAAAATCTTTCAAACACATGATTTGGCCTCTGCGGGCCCTCCTGGTGGACGCTTTGGACGCCTCTTGGGCAGTCTTGGAGGCCTCTTGGGTGCCTCTTGGGCCCTCTTCGACCGTCTTGGCGGCTTCTTGGGCGGACTTGGCGGCATCTTGGACCCTCTTGGGCCGTCTTGGAGGCCATCTTGGAACATCTTGGGCGAACTCGGAGGCTATCTTGTCCGTCTTGGATGCCATCTGGGGCCGTCTTGGAGGATTATTTGGGGTTTTGTGGTCCTTTCGTGTGTCCAGCGGGGCGGGTCGAAGCTCCAAGGGAGATCTCTTTTGGACAAGGAGCCAACACCAAATCGTAAGAAATCTAGCGCGCCAGACACCCCTGTCATAAATCAACAGGGGGCGGTGGACGAAGACGCCTACGGCGAGTCACCGCCGCCCCCTGCCCTTTGGAATCGCCCATGTGGCCGTTGTGGAAACCCTTCGGGGAACACTTGGGGGACGATGGCGGGGAATATCAGGAGGAGTAACTAGGATGAGGAGGAGGAGGAGGAGGAGGAGGAGGAGGAGGAGGAGGAGGAGGAGGAGGAGGAAGAAGAGGAGGAAGAGGGGGAGGAGGAGGAGGAGGCATCTTGGGAGCATATGGGGGCACTCTTGGGGCCTCCTGGGAGCTTCCCTGGGGCCTCTTGGAGGCATCTTGGGGGCCTCCTTAGGCCTCTTGGGGGCCTTTGGGGGCTTCTCGGAGGCCTCTATGGCCGTCTTAGGGCATTCGTGGCCCGTGTGACGCCGTTGGCAGCCGTCTTGGGCGTCTCTTTCGGCCGATTTGGGGCCCTCTTGGGGTGCTCCACGGTTGTCTTGGAGGTTATCTTGGGCGTCTTGGATAGGCCGCGAGGGTTTCAGAGACGCCTGGCCGCCTTCTGAGAAGGCCTGCCCCCTCTTGCTTCGCCTCTGGGCTCGTCGCTGGAAAGAGGCTCTTGGATGGCCACAAGCAGGCCAGAAGAGACCACCAGGACTGCGCGAGCGGGTAAACTAGGGCCCGCGAACGGGCATTGAGAAGCAAGCTCTGTGATTTTTCGTTCGTTTGCTCAAGTATTATGGCTCCAACAGGCTTCCCAGAGGCTTCCATGAGGCCCCCAAGATGCCCAAACCAGTGAAAGGCACTAGGACAAAACATTAGTTTTGAAGATCTCGCTTTTTCGCTTCCGATGGCCTTCTGAGGCTTCTTGATGGTCGTCAATTGGCCCAAACGTGCCCAAAAGAGGAGCCCCACAAGGCAACTAGACTGCCCCAAGAGCTCTCCAGAGTGTCTCCAGACGGCCACATAGCCCCAAGACGGTCGACCGGGGTCTCTGGGACCCTTCAATATGACCTCGAGACGGCCCACGATGGCTTCCAGACCGCCCTTCAGGCTGCCAGGACGGCCCAGTACGGCTTTAGACTGCCAAGATAGTTCGAGATGGCCCCCAGACGGCTCCGAGAGACCCTTGAGAGGCTTCCAAGAGGCTTCCGAAAGACCCCCAGGAAGCCCAAATCCTTCAACAACCAACGGAAAGCCATGGGCTTCCTGAAGACCTGGCCTAGTCTCTTCCGATGTGCCTCTGAGGTCTTTAGGATGGTAACCAAAACGGCACCACGGGAACCTGAGAGCAGGAAGAACGCAGGAGACACGAGAGACGAGCAAGAAAGGAGGGACAGCGGGTGGAAGGGAGGAGCCAGAGGGAGATGGAAGTAGAGGGGAGCGGAGACGGAACATAGATTGGGGAGGGCGAGCAACAGGAGGAGTGCGAGTGATTCTTCAAACGGTTCGAATCACTTGCAATATAGACATGGCGGTAAGCACCCACTGTGGCGAGAGGTTGACCTGCATTGTGTTGCTCTAGAACCTAAGCGCGAAGCGCGCGCGTGGTTCTAGTATCTATTTATACACATAAGAGTGAGAGAGGTAGAGAGAGAGCGAGAGAGGGAGAGACAGAGAGAGAGAGAGAGAGACAGATGTGGCGAGTCATGCTCTGAAGTCGCCGGGGGGCAGGAGGGGCTCGTGAATACCATGAGCGAGATGGCCTGGTTCTTCTCGGAGTGCGGGGTGGGCGGGAAGCGTCCCTGGGCGCGGTGGCCATTGGAGGCAGGGCTCTAAGTCGAAGAGAGGCACTCTCGGACAAGCTTTCTGTTCTATATGGCAAGGGAGATTCGGATAATGCGGATGCGGATGCGGATACGGAGGAGGAGGAGGAGGAGGAGGAGGAGGAGGAGGAGGAGGAGGAGGAGGAGGAGGAGGAGGAGGAGGAGGAGGAGGAGGAGGAGGAGAGAGGAGGAGGAGGAGGAGGGGGCGTAAGAGGGATACGGGCCCCCCTCCTTTTTCAGGAGGGATACGGGCCCCCATTCTTTTTCAGGAGGTCGCTGGTGATCTCTGGGGGTCCCTGGAGGCTCTGGAGGCTTTTGGAGGTCAGAACACATACTTTAAGGTATGCCAGAACCTCAAGCCTCGATTCTTTACCCTCTGGCCTCCTGGGGCTGCTTCCACTCTGCGTGATCAGGCCCCGCGCTCGAGGGGCCTGGGTCGCGAGGCGCCCAGGCGGCCGCAGGGAGCATCCGTTTTTTGTTGGCTGTTGTTGCGGATGAGGACATGTCCCTGAGGCTCGGGGGGGGGGCAAGCTCGCAACGAAACCTGGGGGGGATAACTCCTCGTCCGATTCTTCCCTCTCATGCTCGCCCTCCTCCTCCTCCTCCTCCTCCTCGTCCTCCTCCTCCTCCCTACACCTGGGGGAGGCGCAACGAATGGCGCAACGCTCGAGCGCAAGCGCGCGCACCGAGGGGCGCACCGCTCAGCTCGCAGGGGGCGCGCGCGCGTTGCGCCCCTTGCTCCGCCCGTTGCCCTGCTGGGCCCACCCGTCAGGGTTCGCCCGCCCGACCCGCCCGCCGCCCCTGAGGGTCCGCCCGCCCGCTTTAGTGTCCCACCCGCCTGGCCCGCTCATTAGGATCCGCCCGCCCGTCTCTCCCGTTGGGTTTGCCCGTCCGACCTGCCTATTCGGGTCCGCCTGCGAATCTTCCTGCTTTTGTCTCCTAACCCCTGTTTCTTATCTCCTCGACCTCCTCGTATTGTCTTATTGCGAAGGCCTTACGGTCGGTGCCGCCGACCCTGAGGGCAGAACCACCCCCATAACCCCCGCTGGCGCCCCTCGCAGGACCCGCCGGGACCCAGGGGGCGGGGCGGTGTTTTGACCAGGGACCCCCCCCACTGACTCGGGACCCCCCCCCATCCCCCCCCCTCGAATGGAGAAAGGACAGGAAATCTACTTAACTACTACGTTGCTTTTCTTGTTCCTCAACCCCCTTGAGACTTACGACGACGACTACAAGGACGAGGACGACGAGAACGACGACGTCGACGACGACAGCTCAAACGGAAAAACGTCCATCTCACACATGCCGAAGGGTCGTCTTTTCTTGAACCGCGCCAGCTTCACGTGGCCGGCAAGGAAGAGGTCCCCCCAAAACGGGGTATGATCGAAGACGAGCATGGTGAGTGTCGAGGGGTTTGGGTATGCATGTGACGGGAAGTGATTTTGAGGAACTCGAAGGAATTGGACGTTTTGGGTAAACCTATATTGTAGATGCGCGCGTGCGCCGCGAAAGTGGGTTCGCGGATTGCACGGTGTCACGGGGTGGACGGATGACGGGCAGCGTCTTCGAGGATCGACAAGCGAGCTCGACGTTATGGCTTAACTTGCAACATGTCGAATGATTTTCTAAACATTTTTCTTATTATACCGTTCGTGGTCGCACGGGGGACCCGCTTAGCGGAGGACGGGAAACGTGTTCGAGGAACGAGAAGCGAGCTGGACGTTTTTGCTGAACATGTAGCATGTTTGATTACTTTATCACAGGTGTTCTTACTATATCTTTCGACGGGGGGCCGGCTTAGCGGATGACGGGAAGCGTCTTCGAAAAACGAGAATCGAGCTGGACGTTTTTCTGGCTGAAGATGTAACGTTTTTGATTAACCAATGAAAGCTATTAGTACTATATCGTTCGACGGGGGGCCGGCTTAGCGGATGATGGGAAGCGCGCTCAGAAGGCCCTGGCTCGAGCGATTTCTCGTGTCAGCGGGGTCGCAAGCCCCCGCGCAGAATGATTCTCAGTCGATGGCGAGACATGTTTCGTTTCTTCTTCTTCTGTGCGCCATCGCTAGCCGAAGTTACTTACGCTGGAGGGCCGAGCGTTCGGTGACGGCACGATCGCCGTGGAGATCCATGCCATCAGATGATGTCGAGGATCGGAGCGAGCCAGTGCACAGCACATGGAGCTATCACCGCGCCTGCCGAGCCATACTCGCCAGAGGGCGAATGTGGTTCAAGGGGGCACTGTACGAGGGCCAGGACGCAGTGGCGAAGCTATGCCGATTGGCGGCGCACAACGGCGTGGTGCTCCCACCTTCACTTCTCCCACCGACCCATTGTATCCCACGCCGCGGCTACGTCAAGATGTTGTCGCGCAGCGCCGAGACAATGCTAACAAGCCTGGCCGCTTGGACGAAGTTCTTCGACATGCGGCGGCTGCCCGCGTCGACGTTCTTGCCCTGCAGGGCACCGTGCTCTCCATCGAACACCAGTTGGAGAACCCCGACTACATCATCACGCCTTCCCCTCGCTCGGCTCGCCACTCGAAGGCCGGGGTTGCCATTGCTATATCCCAGCGAATTGCTTCACGGGAGGAGATTACAATTGCGCGCAGGTGGCAGCTGGGGAGGCTAGTGGGCATTCGGGTCCAACGCAAGCCCCGCATCGATTCCTACGCCTTCTGTGGATGCGCCCCAGCTGACAAACCCCAAGCCCGACCCATCACAGCGGCCGCCCACGCGGCATGCCGACGCGACGCGGACGAGTTCTTAGACAGTATGAATCGCGCGCTGGGCTGTATCCCCGCTCGCTGTGCTATATTTCTGGCCCTGGATGGCAACGGTAGCATGGCGCCGCCACTGCCTGAAGGAGGACATGCCAGTCCACGGCGACGGCATCGACCGCAGTGGACCGACGCCGGACGACGCCTCCATGACATCCTCTCTCAGTGCAGTATGCGTGCCTTTTACGCCCTCGGCCCAGCAGCAGGACGCAGTGCCGCATGAAGGAACCCTGACGGTCAGGGTGAGAAGTGGATCGGCTACGTCGCCACGTCGCGCAGTACGGCTCCCAGGATTTCGCGCGGGTCATTGGTGAGACCCCACTGGCTTTGGGCCCCTCTAGAGATCGCATGGTGGTCGAGGCCTCTGTCCGAGTGGGTCGACACTTTACTGTGCGACCTCCCAGGACACCGACGCCGACGTGGCGCCGTCAACATATCCTGAGTTCTCTCCAGGCATGGCCGCGCTGGTCTGCTGCCGAGGCGGAGGGCCCAGGCAGTGGAGGCCCACTGATCACCGTTATCAGCGACGCGCTGCGCTTCCAGGACCGCGCGGGCCACGCCGTTGCCTCCGTGGACCAGGCCCTTGCGCAGACCCCCCTACCAACTATTGCGACTTCTTGGAGCTGGCGGTGGCCTCGGCCGCGAGCGACTTCCTCGCGCCCAAGCAGGGGCCCCAGTTCTTTGCCTTCTCTGCCGACGCGGTCCGACTGATCAAGCAGAAGCAGGGGGCCATCAGGTGGGCCACTTGGTTCGCCGACCAACGAGTTCCTACTGGCGTGCTTCTCACGGCGCAGGCCAGGGCCCGACTCCTCTCACTCGCCGCTGAGCGAGCTGCACGCGCTGAACGACGCCGGGTAGGCGCTGACATTGCAGACGAGGCCACCGATGCGGCTCGCCAGAGCGACCCCGGGAAGTGCTGCAATATCATCAATCGGATAGCCCCCAAACCGAGGCCAGCTTCAGTTACTGTGGCGGGGCCCGACGGGCTGCCCTGCGTGGGCGCGATCGCGGAGGCCCAGGCTCGCAAGCGCGCGCTGCTGGACAACCTCAAATGCACTGAGATCCCCCTCAACGAACGCCCACCACCTGCAGCGCCACCTCCGACGACTTCGGATGCCCAAACACTCCGGCACCTGCTCCACTGCACCACTAGCGACGTCAATCAAATCATCGACCTCATGCCCAACACCGAGGCCGCCCCACCTATCGACGCTGCGCCAGGCGGACATCCACGCCAGCGTGGTGTGGTGGCGGAGCTCTGGAAGATGGCGGGTTCGACAGCTACTACTGCGGTGCAGTCGCTGTTCCAGGGTATTGCCAACTGCGCGCTGATCCCCGCGCAGTTCAAAGATGGCGTCGCGGCACAGCTGCGCAAGCCCAAAGGCGTCGGCACCAACGCCCGCGATCATTACAGGACGCTCAACATCCTCGACCACCTCGGCAAGGGTGTCTCCAAGTTCATGTTCCGACCATTCATCGGACAGGCTACCGCCAAAAACGAGCCCACCCAGTTCGGGGCCACGGCGCAGCGTGCCACTCGTGATGCCATTGCGATGATAGGCGACATATTTCGCCGCTGTCGGGTCGGGGCCAGACGCTCCAAGTCTGGTACAATTCTGGTGGGCGTCTTGGTTGACCTGGAGAAAGCCTTCGACCTTCTGCCCAGGGATGCCATCTGGTCCGAGGTCCACCGCCTGGTCGAGTCTGCTGGGTTCACCTTCCTGTGCTCCGAATTGCACAGCGGCGCCTGCTACTTATTTAAGGGCCCGAACTCAGGCCGAGTGGTGGCGAAGCTAGCTGTCCAACTGGGGGTCCGACAGGGCTCACAGCGCTTCGCGTTGCTGAAGAGGAGCGCGCGATCCCGCCGATCATTGCCACCCTGGACCTCGAGGGCGCCACGTGTCTCGATGTATCCCGCGTGTGCTTTGTTGACGACCTAAGAGCGCTTGCTGTCTTCGAGGGTTGGACGGGGGCCACCGATTTCATTGCCTTCGTCGCGTCAGTGCTGCGGGCCAAGGACCATCGCATGCATGTGCCCAAGACGGAGGTCATTGCAGTGGCCACTGGCCGCGGCTCCCGACGCCTTAACAAGGATGTCGCTGCGCGTTCGTCGGGGGTGATGTGTGACGGGCGCCCTCTCCACCCACGGGATGCAGTGCAATGCTTGGGACTTCA